ATATAATTTTATTTTAAAAATCCAATACAGTTCATAATTCCTAAATAAACACATCTTGAAAAATGCATTCATAACATGTGGCGACTTCCTGGAAGCAAGCTAAATAAATATGTCTTTTAAATGCATTCATAACACCTGGTAACTTCCTCGAAGACTAACTTTCCTATGCTTTCCTGGCACACTCTTCCATGTTTTTATTTTAGTCTCTATTATTCCTGCCTACCTTATTTGATAAACCATTGGCTCTGAGAAGACATGACTAAAGTAATAGTGTATAATAAATGCATTTAAAAATATTTATGGCCACTTTACTTTAAAATATCGATGACTACTGTTCTATTTTCAAATTTTAGATAAACTACCAAAGTCAGGGGAAAATATTTATGTGTCAAAGAAATTACCCATTAAAACTGTCTCTTGAGCTACTTCTTCACTGACTTGCTGATTTCTTCACTCAGCATTTCTTTTTCACACTTTATAACCAAGTGGCATAATCAGTTTTTATTTTATACAAAAAAAAAAAAAAAAAAGCTAATTGTAAACATGTAGGACAAGAATTTGTCCCTTTTTGTAAAGAGAATCGGGTATATAGAAACACTCTTAATGTACTCTTAAAAAAAAGAGACACTACTGTTAAAATTTATAGTACTAATTATTTTTGTGTTCTAGAATGAAAGTTCATTGTAATCGATGGGATATATTAACCACGCGCACAGGAAATAAAAGTCCCAAGATAGATGGTGCTATTGCAGTAGGTCAGTTAAGAGCCCTCTAGAGCAAAGACTGGGAAAAGTTAAGAAAATTGTTTTCTTTTAAGACCTCTGTGTAAGGGTGAGGGATGAGACAACAGAAAGAGTACAGATTCTGAAATGAAAAAGAGCTGATAAACAGCTGTCATCATCATCATCTCACTTATTCTTCCTTTTCCTTGGTCCTCCATTGGTGATTTCTTTGCTCAAACATTTATCATCAATGCTTCTCCAAGCACCAGACCTTAAAAGTGACATGAGAAGACCCCTTACTCCTGAAGAGCACAGGGAGTTTTAAAGCTTCAAAAACAAAGTTCCCTCCCTACAGCAGCAGAACTTTCAAGGGCAGTGACTCTCGATTTAACTGTAGTAAAAACTCACTCCTCACAGAGAATGTGTTGTATAGCCTGCTTCATACCCTCATTTTATCCCATGTGTGCATACCCATCCTGGCATTCAGAGAGCTAGTTGCTGTTTCCATGAAATAATTTTTATAAAAACCTGTCTCTCTGATCATTTGTGATGCTAAAAAATAGACTATCATTTTTTCCCAAGTTACATAAAGATAAAGACATTTTTCTACAGCAGGAAAGCATGCTGCTCTCAGCAATCAGTGTTTTATAATTGGGATGAGAATGGTATTAAGATTTTAAGGCAGCATTCTAAGAGGTCCCTCTTGTTTGCAGTTGGCAGAATATCAGCTGTTCCAACACAAGCAATGAGTTGTGGTAGACTCAACTAATTGCCTCCAGCCTGCCTCTCCTCAATTCTTTTTACTCCCAGGTGTCTATTCCATCTTCGCAGGCGGAGAAGATAAGCAGATGGATGTGAGGAGGTGAATAGGATCTTGTGTAACCGCTAGCCCTGAGAGCAATTGGTCAATACCCTTGAAGCTGGTTAAACCCTTAGTAAATGGTTCTAAACTCTAGCAGATGGTCTATTGGTCTCCATGGTGCCATTCAACATCCATATGACTCCACATAAGGAACTAAAATCTTGGAATTGGAGGATTGCTTCTCTCTAGTATATTCTATTTACCATTTTATGCTTTTACTCCACAACCAGTGTCTTTTCTTCATAATGGAGAGCTTGGCCTGGTTCTATTTTTCTCCACTGGTAGAATGACACAAAGCAATGACAGTCCATGTGGTTAACACTCACCAAGGACTTGAATATGTTTTCATTTTACAGTCATGGAAGCAGACATTAACTGAAGCTGTTGCAAGTGATCCAAGGGCAAACTCACAACCCCCACCCACAAAGTAAGCCAGCCACTATTGCAACTCAGTTTTAGTGTTCGTCTTCAGAGAGAATAACAAAATTATGACTGAAAATTTTTATTTGAATTTTATTCATGATTTTTAAACATATTTTTAAACTACTTTTTAAAATTCTGACACTTTTCAGAACACTATGAAGGTTAACCTCAAATGAATGATTATAGAATACCCCTGCCAGAATATTTTTCCTTTATTACATTTAGTATCCTTCAGATACTTACCTTCCACTCTCTCTCCCTTCCTCTCGATTTCTATTTCTCTTTTCTCCCACCACCCATCTTCTCCAACTGTGATTGCTATTTTTCTTAATAAAAGCTGCTTTAAAAGCTGATGTCCTGCATACATGGTCCTAAATCCCATGTACTTTTATTGTTGTATTCCCTAATCATGGATTGGAGTTTGGCGTTTATAACTCCAAGGAGAATATAAATTGCCTCTTTGGCATGAACATAGATACTCATTCTGCTCGGTGCTACGACAGCATTTTCCCAATCCAGAGTTGGAGCCCTGAAGGAGAACATAGTCACAGGGAAGTGTGTGGGGAACAGAATCAAGGAAATGCATCTTTATGACAATTCTCCTGAGTTCGATAAAGTTCCAGCCCTTCCTCCTGGTAGCCAGACTATTTGGGCTTTTATTTTCAGATGGAAGAGGTCCCATCTGTCTGGCTAATAAACAGACAGTCCATGAGCATTTTCCACTTCCCTGGAAGTAGGATGAAAATCAGAAAGCTCTTGTGCCATTCTTAAGTTCACTTTTCCAGATATCCACTTGATAAACATTCACATGACATCAAATTAAAAGGTATTTCTTTTTTCCCTCTGGTAACAAGCCAAATTTGTTTTTACTTGAATGTTTTTAATTGTATAAACAAAGAATATGAGAGAAAACAAGTGATGTGTGAACAGGGAATAGAGCCCAAAGAGACTGACAATGAACTTTCTCTGTGCTTGTCCACAGGAAGCTATTAAATGGCTGCTGTTGTGGGTTGAATTGTGTTCTCTCCTCACTACGTTCAAGTGTTGCCATCCTAACCCCTAGTACCTTAGAATGTGACCTTATTTGGAGACAAGGTCTTTACAGAGGTAATCAAGTTAAAATGAGGTCCTGAGGGTAGGCCCTAATCTAATCTGACTGGTGTTCTCATAAGAAAGGGAAACTTGGAAACTGACAGCTACAGGGAGAATGCCACGGTGAACATGAGGACAGCTGTCTACAAGCCAAGGGGAGGCCCTAGAACAGACCTTTCCCTCACAACCCTTAAAAGAAACGTACCTGCCAACACCTTGATTTTATATTTCTAGCCTCTAGAACTGTAAATAAATTTTGGTTGTTTAAGCCACACAGTTTTTGGTATGTTGTTATAGCAGCCCTAGTGAACTAATACAGTTACCTACTTTATTATTCTTTTCTTGGAAATAAAACTTTCGATTTTTGGCAAACTTCAACTGTATATTATTGTTGAAAAAACATATACTTATATCTATATTAATTTCATATTTGATCTCTTAACTTTAGGAAAAAAATCTATGCTTCTCCTTAAATGGCAATGTCTTAGATTTCATGATATGTCTTATATAGTGCAGAAAATATTGAGAATCATCTAAAACAACCTGTACAATTTACAACTGAATAAATGAAGGCAAGTAAAAATTAGAGGCCTTTTAAGGTCACCCAGTTAGTTACTGATGAAGATAGGTCACAGAGCTCCCAGTCTCCATGTTTTTGGTAGCACAGAACCACTCTTAGCTAGCATTCAAGGATTACATACCACTAAAATGATTGTCCCCTACTTCATCATGTTAAAAAAATGTTTAAAGTCAGGATAATATAAAAGTAAGTAGACACTAAGATCACAAAAAATAGTTTGTCCTACTGAAATTATACTCTACAAAGTCCTGACACTTACCTATTCTTAATCAGACTATTGATATATTCACTGTTACATGGTAGATGTATTTTTGTACCATTTTGAGATAAGCATAGCAGTAACAGGTGGCTAAACATCTCAATTAGTCTGAGGAAAGATTAGGATTTTCTTCAGAATCCTGCACATCCAAGCAGGGAAATTGTTCAGAAGAGCACTTGTGCATTTGCTAACTCTCAATAATAGTTTTCACAAGTTGCACTGTACATTCTCAGGTAGTTTTCAAAGGAAATATTATTTTAATTCACATTAAATTGCTATTTATCATGAAGCTAATTACTTTTTGACAGATCTTTTTGGTTTCTTTTCTCCTTCAATTATTTCTTTGATCCTGATGTTCTTCTTTGAGAAGACTCAGGGTAAATAAGGTAGAAATCTTCAATGAGCTGATGTGGAAGAGAACTTTGACTCTGCTTCCCTAAAGGGTAGAACTAAGGCTAATTGGATAAAATTACAAGTAAATAGATTTCAACTCAAAAGAAAAAAATCTTTAAACAGAGCTTTAATGTGATAGGATTTTCTGCTTTGGAAGATCTTCAAGATTAGTCACTGGTGATATTCTAAGCATTAGGCCATCTGGGGGCTTTGTTACAGAGAGAATTCAAGCAATGATTGGATTAGATTAAACGGCCTTTATAGCCATTTCCGTCCTAAAAGTTTATGGTTCTATGAACTCAGTACTAATCTCATAGGACTAACTCTTCCCCTCAACTAGCACAAGGCTCATTTATTCTTACTCTTGATATCCTTTGTGTTTGATATGCTGTAACTTATCTAATTAACATACAATTAGTGACACCGGAATGAGACATCAGTCATAGCTCATATATGTCAAGCTAGAGGCAGGGCTCAGGTCAGAATTTTTTCTTGGCTATTCATTTATTAGTATGAAATCACACTTGTTACTATATTGGATGAGAACAAGAGACTATCCTGTAATTGTATAAGAAAGATAGAATTATTTTAACAGTTGTATTCATCCTTGAGCTTCTTTTCTAAAGAACTAAAAATATATGCTACACCATGAGATAATCAAATACTAACCTCTTTCATTTTTTCCAGTTCATTCTGTAAAGCCTGCTTTGCAATTTCAACTTCTATGAGCTGTTGCCTCAGTTTCTCATTTTCATCTTCCGTTGTTGTTCTCTTTTCTTCCACATTTTCCAATTCATGGTGAAGTCTCACAGATACATCCTTTGCAACCTACATTAAAGTGTTTGTAACAATAAAATACAATTAAAGGTGATATAGTAAATGGACTAAAATTTTATTTGTATTCTAAGTATTAACAGCCCATACTTATAGAGTGCTTGCCACATGCCAGGCAGTGTTCCAAATGCTTTACGTATAAGCCATTCACATATAGTGACCATTTAACCCTCACAACTATACCACAAGATAGTTACTATTATTATTCCTATATTATGGATAAGGGTACTGAGGCTCAGACAGGTGAAGGAATACGCTCAAGGTCACATAGCTAACAAGTATAGGTAGTCTGGCTCTAGACTTTGTTCCTTTAACTTCCACAGTACAGAGGCTGGCCAGTTAGCTCAGTTGGTTAGTGCTTCCTTGTAACACCAAGGCCAAGGGTTCAGATCCCCATACCAGCCAGCCACCTAAAAATTAAAAAAATTAAAAACAAACTTCTACACTACACCATGGTAATAAATATTCTACTGTTTTACCACATGTAGCGAAATTTCACGTATCTCCTCTAATTCTGCAATACAACTATGAGGTAGATGTTTCCATTATCACCTATGTTAAGGAATGAAAAACAGAAACAGAAGCTTTTACAAGGGGAGGAGGCTTGAATTTTAATCATCTAACTATAATTCCAAGTACTTAATTTTAGGAAATATTTTAGTCCTTGAAATTATTATTTTTAAAATGACAGTGTGCATTTTTGCCCCACATTTTGAGATTATATTGAAAATATTAGGGTTTGAAAGAAATGTGGAGCAGTCTGATGTAGAGGCTCAGGAGACTGGCTGTGGTTTTAGATTTGGTGGAGAATGAGCTTGGTTACTTACTGGTTATGTTCCAGGTCTGAGCATTTAACCTCTGTAAAAGGTGCAGCTTCTGCATCCATAAGATGATGCCATTAATAATCCCTACCCTAGAGGGTTTGTTTCCTTGAGAACCAAATGAAATAATAATGTATGCCATAGTGCCTGATGCATAATGAGTACTCAACAAATGTTAGGAAAGGAAAAGAAATAAAAGAAGAAATACAACGACTTTCATAAAATGTTTACTCATAGCTTTCTTCAAAACAAATATAGCATAATTACATTTGATATTTATATCTTGACGAAGTCAATACAATTAAAAGTATATTTATTTGGTTGTCTAAGGCGATGAATTTCATATCTAGTTTGCATTGTCAATGAATCTATCTCGAGTCAAACTGAACTGAAGAGACCACGCCTGCCTAAAGAACGCACTTCAAGGTTTAGATTTCCCTACTGGGAGAGATTCTGAATGCAGCAACTTCACATTAAAAATGAGGAGTTTTCATTTACTTCGTACTCCCTTTACTTCTTCAAACGGGCTGTAAGTTTGACAATTTTCCCTTCAGGGAGTTACTGAAGTGTCAAGCACAGAAAGGAAGAAGTACTGGAAGAAGGGGGATGGGTCGGGGACTTGCAGAGAGACATCTTGACTGATATCTTCCCGGCGCTTGCTGTTCCTATTCTGGATTTCAGCTCCTTTGAAGGAGTCCTTATAGCGCTTCTCTTGAGTGCCTGACTCCACCAGGCCTTCACTCTGGAGCAGGTCAAGGCCAGAGCCTACGCTCTGCCACACCCTTGTTTCCGCCCAGGAAGGAGCCGCCCTCTTCCCATCACCTCTGGAAGAGCCACCGTTCCTGCCAGGGAGCCCAACTATCGTCCTCCGCCAAGCCCTCCACACGACCCACCTGTCAGTTCCTCCCCTTCCGGGACCCTGATATTTTGTGGTCAGCACTGCGAAACTGTGTCCCTAAGGCTCTTTACCAGTCACCACTGAAAGGCTTTCAGCGCAAAGAGCCCTTGACCAAAGTCCCCGCCCGCCGCCCCTGCCGCGCGCCCTCGAGCCCCAGCGCCGCAGACCTTGAGGTCCTGCTCCAGGCTGCGCAACAGCTCCCCGTCGATCTCCCCCGTCTGCGCGTAGCGGAGCCTTTTGCGCTCGGCTTTGCGGAGGCGGTACTGCAGGATCCGGCAGTTTTTGTTGGCTCTCTCCAACTCGTGGCGCATTTCCTGCAGTTGACAGGCATCCTCCTCGAAGAAAGTGTCCCTCATCTCGTCCATCTCAGTTCTCAGCTCATCGATCTCGTTCTGTGGCGGTGACAGGCCGCGGGTCAAGATTAGCCTCGCCTCCAGCCCCTCCGACTTACACCGTGCACACCCCATTCCAACTCCAAATTCTCAGTTTTATTTGCCCCCTCTCCAAAAGACAGGAGCGACAAGGAGCTGAACGATGGAGAAGAAACTTAAAACACAGGCCCACTTTAGGCCTTCTCTAGCTCTCTTACTTTACCTCTGCCCATGAACGTGGAACGAACCATGATGCGAAGGCTCAGATGTGCGGCTAAATGAAAACCTAACGTTACTAGTACCAGGCTCTGCTTCCAATCTGGACATTGCCTAGGAACACCGCCACCCCTCCCCTTCCCTGCTCTCCTTCCTCTTTCCGGCCCACCCTACAGGTTAGCAGCCTCTCCCCCCACCGGGACACGCCCGAATCCTCCGAGACCCACACCTCCCGCCCCCATGCCTCCCCCCACCTCCTCACCTTGAGAGTCTCGTTCTCCTCTCGCAGCTTCTCCATCTCCTCCTGCATTTCCTCCTGTTCCTGGAGGTGCTGCGGGTGCGGCTGCGACGAAGGGGGCGCCGCCGCCTGCATGGCCCCGCCGCTCGTGCTGCCCTCTGCGCTCTGCTGGGGGCCCTCCGCCGCCGCCGCCATTGGGGAGGAGGAAGGGACCACAAGGGGCTCGCAAATGGCGGGGGCGCCAGCGACCGGGGAGCTGCGGCTGCTGCTGCCGCCGCCGTTCTTAGTGTGCATCTGAGCCGCGGCCGCCGCCGCCGCCCGCTCCTTCCTGAGATGGAACTGGATGAGCTCAGACTGCAGACATCCTTCCTTCCAGTAGCTCCCTCCGCCGCCGCTGCCGCCCCCCGCAATGCCGCTTCCGGAGTTTCTGCTGCTGGGGCCTGGGGTTTTGCCCGCAGAAGAGGACGGCGGAGGCGAGACCCCCTCCCCGCAGCTGCCGCCCCTTTGCTGAGCACGGACGCCTTTCCCTCGCCAGCCCCTGGGCGGCGGCGGCGGCTGCTGCGGAGCGCCCCCCTCCCTATCCCCGGAGCCGCCGCCGGCTCCTCCTCCTTCCCCGCCCCCTCCTCCTCCTTCCCCGAGCGGAGGGGGTTCCCCGAGTTTCGAGGGCACCGACTCTAGCTCCCGGGGCGGCTCTTCCGGCGGCCCAGGCTTCCTGCCGCCCGCAGAGGCCAGGGTCGCCGCGGGGGCCGCTTCAGCACCAAACGCTGGCTGGACAGCTCCGGGCGCGGCCCCTTTGGGAGCCAGGGGCGCCGCCTTCTCGGCTCCACCCAGGCCTCCTCGGGCGCCGACCGAAGGCGCCCCGCGGCTCCCGGTCTTGTTACCCTGCTGTTGCTGCTGCTGCTGCTGCCGAACAGAATTAAGTTTAGTGCCGGCCCCCACCGGGGACCGTGTGGCCGCGCTTGTCTGTCGTAGAGAATTGTCCCTCGGTCTAGCGGGTGACTGAGCTCGCTGCTGCTTTCTGCTACTGCCCTCCGGGTGCAGGCGAGCCTCTGTGGCTGCTGCGGCGGCAGAAGCTGCGGCTGCGGCAGGGGCAGCGCCCCCGGTCGGTGGCTGACTCATGGCAGTCTAGAAGGAACCTACCGGATGCGATTTGAAATCGTCCATCACTAGATCATCCTCTTCCCTTCTCACCGTCACCAACTTTCCTTTCTAAGCTGGGACAGAAACAAAAGAGGGGAAGCACACAACATGTCTGCATTGTTGCAAAGCAAAAGGTTATTTGGGTGTACAAGAGAAGCCCCGGAAAATCATGAGATTTGAAAGGCGCTTAACAGAAGCTTTGACTTTAGGAACAGGATGCAGAGCTGTCAATTCTCATTTTGCCCAGGGTGGCGCTGTCTCCATCTCACGCCACCTCAGTGAAATGATGACGGATCTGGAAGATCCTGAACCTTACATTCTCGTCGTAGCAGGTTTTGGAAAGGGTGAGATACAGAGTCAGAAAGGAATTGGTGGGAAGGACAATGCAAAAGGAAAGAGGATAAGGTAGAGAAAAAGCGTCAGGAAAAAAGGAGATGGTCCACATATTGGAGTTGCCAAATCCCTGCTTTTTCAACTTTGGCTTCCTCACTATCAGATCTGTATTTAAAGTCTAGTTTAGGGGAGAAAGTTTTGTTTAACTAGTATCCCCAAGTTTCAATTAGAGGAAAAGGGTTATGATGCAGGTTCCTAGAGAAAATTTGCTATTAACAAATGATAGTTTCCCCAAGCAGCTCCAACTCCTGATGTCTTTAGAGGAATACATCCAATATCCTTTAGAATAGAACTAAAAGAAAATGTAAATAATGAATGACTACCAATCAACCTCAGTTTCAAGAATATAATGGCATTAGTAATCACCTATATGGTTTAGTCATTAGAAACCCCAAAGGGATTTTTTTTTAAGCTTCGGAAAATACTTTTTAAAATACTCTTAGAAAATTTGATGGGCAGCTCTGCACAGTCTGAAGTTTCAGGTGATGAATTTTTCTACACTTATCCAAATTTTTGTTCTTGTGAATTATTTTAGTTTTAAGTAAAATTGCTACATGGAAAATATTTTCACATTCTTATCATTGTCTTCAATAGTGAAGTTGTACTTTTAAAGTGTACATTGCCTCCTATGGAGCCGAATTCTGAGGCAGAATGACCCTGCACCCAGAAGACTGGTACATCTTCCCTCACGGTGGTAAGAACATTTCCATTGTGTGTCTGTCAAAGATAAATCTATCACTGGGTTCTTCAGTGTGGGAAACAGTAAGCTACTGCCTCATAGATTCTTCTCCCTAGTGTTCCAGTCACCTAGTCAGTTAGTCAGTTAGGTACTTTTTCCTTAGAAATATTTCTCTTTAAAGCACTGAAAAGACCATGATGAGGCACAAAGTTCTGCTTTTTTTAAAAAAATACCGCTATTAAGAGAGGAGATGCCTGCCAGTCACATTACTTGCATTATTCCCGTTCCAGTCTATGTTAAGTATTATAACCTATCGTGCAACAATTTCTCATTCTATAGAGAAATATTACTTCTCCACCTCCCTTTCCATTTCTGGGATCTCCTTCCAACTCACTTTGGAATGTAAAGGTGAAAAAAGAAGACATTAGGGGAAAAAAAAGTTGCCCATCAACATTTTCTACATCGTCTCCAAGAACCACAACATTACAGAATGTCTGGCCTAGTTCCCCAGCAAGTGGACTACCCAACCAGGTTATTTTGGCAATGCAAACCTATTTTTGTTTTTAATTAAGCAAAATCACTCCGGAGCTGAGAAGCAATCAGATAACTCTTAAACCTGGCCCCCCAGACAGCTTTCACGCAGGAGAAAGCTCGGGTTCCAGTAACTGGGTTCCACAATCAAAGGTACCTGGTTTCTGTCACGTGTTTCTCACAAAGTGACAAGACGCTGCGTCTCTTTAAAGCTCCCTCATGGAAATTGCCACCCTAGCAATCCTGGCATGACCCAAACCAACACATTTTAACTTCAGGTTTTATCCGCCCACTGACCCACCCCATCTCTCATCCCCATCCCTTTAGAAATCCAAAACTGCTCACTTCTCAGCAGAGGCGATGTTTCAAAGAAGTTGATGCAAATCGACAGCTTTTCCCTTATATTCCGGGGACCTCAGGGCTTATTATTGTGTCCTTCGGAACCCAGGAAAGTTCAACGTCGTAGTATTATACGCGACTGTCTGGCTGAACACGACTTCACGAGCACTCTGTTTCTCCAGACAATGGCGATAACCAATGCCAAGACTCCGCAGCCACCAGAGCGGGCTGCTTCCCGGCGGTCCGCGGCTGGGCTGGCCCTGCGGCTTGCAGCAGGCGACCGCGCGAGGTACCAAGCTGTGCCAGACGCTCCCCAGGAAGTGCAGTGATATTCATGAGCTGACCTCACCGCACTGGGCAAGGGACAGGGCGGGATTGCAAGGGAGGACACAGTCGAAGTAGCCAAAGAGAGCTTACTTCCAAGAGGAAAGAGAAGAAGGCGGGGACCGGGGGCGTGGGTGGGGGCAAGAAGACAAAACGGCCAGGGCCCCGCCCGAGACGGAAGATTGGCAGCCGCGCTCAAGTCCTTGCTCCGCTCTCACATCCCAGACTTGGTAGAGCGTTCTAAAACCGCTTGAAATCGGATGCTCTGGTTTTCTGCAAAGCTTTGTCCTGGGTCCGATCAATCTCCATCAATTATTGAGTGGAGCTCTTTTCCCAGGGAAGCGGATCTGAACAGGCTTCCGGGCGTGCCCGACGTCTCCTGGTGCAGCTGCCAGACGCTGGCGGCGGCTGCTGGGAGATCTCTTTGTTCGCTCACTTTAATTCTCAGCCGAGCTCTCCACGCGGTGCTCCCTCCCCACCCCCAGCCCGGGCGGAGTCGGACGTCGTTTCCACGAATAGATAATGGTTGCCAGACCCACCGTCCCGCAGACAAAGGGTTCCTGCAAACTGAATACATATCAGCTTACACATGTGGTTTACAGAGGGGTTTACCCTTGGTGTATATTCCTCTCTCCTTTATTGAGTGCCAATTTCTACTGTAAAACCAAGGAGCAATTGCTGGGATCCATCGTAGTGCATGTGGGCAAGAGGAATCAGGAAAAACGTAAAATATATCCGCTTAACAGTGAGCTCAGAAAAGAAAAAATTGCCTCTACAATTTAGACTAACCCATTCTTTTCCACAGTAATAAATTTTTTTTTGAAATTCAAGTGGTAAATTTTCTTTTCCTTTCCAGTCCCCCCCCCCCCCCCCCGCGGGGGGGGGGGGGGGGG